AAAGGCGGGCGACAAAACAACCAGGCAACCGGATGAAGACCGAACAATCCCAGGCAATTCCGAGGAAGGCCAACTGGCCAGGCCCCCAACCTACCGATTCTTCAAACAGCAAAAACCTTTAGGCAAATCCGATGTGGAGAATCATGGGGTGGGTTGACATGATGCCTGGTGTGTAACGCAATGTGTACTTTGTACAGCTGTCGCCGAAAGTGGTTGGTGGCATTGTTGGGTGCCACCTGGATGCTTGAGGGGCTGTTTGTCAGTGACAGTACAATTGGGGAAGGATGGGCAGGAGGATGGAGGGGGTGGGAGACGGAGGGAAGGAGCGAGGTCAGGAGGAAGGGAGGGGGGGAAGCAAAAAGGGATGGGATGATCCGTCATCACCAGCTCTTCCTTCTCCTCCTCTCTCCTCGTCGCTCGATCCTCGCGAAAGGCGCTTCGCACTGCTGCTCCTCTCTGCACTGTCCCCCCCCTGCAGAAGGCCCTTCTCTTTCCAGTACTGCACCGCTCCCTTCTCCTCCTCTGGTCGTCTTGCCTCCTCCTCCTCCTCCTCCTGCTCCTCCTCCTCCTCCTCCTCCTCCACCCCCTCCTCCTCCTCCTCTCTCCTCTCCTCCTCCCTCCTCCTCCTCCTCCTCCTCCTCACCTCCTTCCCTCCTCCTCCTCCTCCTCCTCCTCCTCCTCGCCCCTCGCCCCCCGGCCCCCGCTCGCCCGAGAGCCCCGAGCCTCAGCCTCCTTCCTTCTTGATGCACCCATTTTAATTTATACTCTATACTCTACCACGAACGCTGCTTGAACTGAGGGGCTCCTGCTTCTGCTTCAAGGCGCTGGCCTGGTTCGCCATGGTCGGGCTGTGGTCTCCCCGTTGAATTGGAACATGGGTTTGTATGCGACTTTTGAGGCCAGGTCTGAGGGCGGTTCTGGACGCGGATTTGGCTGTAGGTGTGGTCGTGGGCCTGGCCGTGGCTTGGGACGTAGGTCCGGTTGTGGGCTTGAAGTAGGTTTGAATGCGTGTCTGGACGTGGGTTGGGCTTTCATTGTAGGGTTGCACATACTGTCAGCGTTTTCTTATTCGGCGTTTCGGCGTTGGGCGAAAGGAGGGGGGGAGAGGGGGGTCTGGCTCCGGACCTCTGCTTAGTGCGACTGTTTGCAACAGTGCGTCCCGTTGGGAGGCTCCAACAGCCTGAAGCAGGCGCCAAAAACAGCCAAGATCTACTCCATGGGTTGGGGGAGGGGGGGTGCGAGGGCCCGCGCCAATCGGCAAAACAATGAATAAGGAAACGATCACATTCTAAGCTTACACATGCATGGTGTATCACACTTGCTGCGCGAACGCACGGTTTATGGCCCACGCGCTGGCATCATACCATCTGCTGAGAACCCTTGTTAAAGATATAACATCATGTACGCGTCTGTGAGTCGGTGTGGACACCACAATTCATCGTTCTGGGAATTCAACAGCCTGGTGCGAGAACTCGAAACATCCATGTCAAACAACTTTCCTAGGCAGCCAAACGTAATCCCGACCTCCTCCGAAGTGTTCAAGGTTCTCGTCTCTTTCCCGTGCAGCCCTGTCTACCCCCGTTGCGGATAGCGGCGTGCTCTCATCGCCCGGCCCCTCGCATTCAAACAGTCGGTCCCTCGCGCGATGCCCGCGCAAGCAAGCACGCCCCCGAGTCCGAGAAGTCTGGCAGGGTGTCTCGACCGAAGTCGTTCTTGCGGATCGTGTTGGTCCTGCCAGCCAGACCAGAAGTTTGGGCGCAGAGAGAAAGAGAGAGAGAGAGAGCGAGAGAGAAAGAGAGAGAGAGAGAGGGAGGGAGAGAGAGAGAGAGGAAGAGAGATAGAAGGGGTGGTGGTGATGAGGTCCGCCATCCCCGGTGCCACCATGTCGTAGCTGTCTGCCGCTCCTCAGCCCCGAGGAGAAAAGGGCGCAGTGGACTGCCAACTTCCTCGCCGCCTATGTGCGCCAGTCTCGCGTTCCTCCTCCTCCTCCTCCTCCTCTGCGCCCGCCGCGCACTCCGGCCGCGGCACGGGCGCCCGGAAGAGATACCCCCCGGTCCGCCCTGGTCACTTCGAAGGCTCATGCCAGAGCAAGCTCTGCGCGACCACAGTTATGGGTTCTCTTCATCCCAATGCACTGCACTGCAGCGCGAGGCACTGCAGTGTAAGGCATTTCAGGGTAACACAAGACACAACACGATGCACTACACTGCTAAGCAATGCCACGCAGACCACATGCAGATCAAGGTAACGTACACCAAGCCATGCAAACCGTCATCTTGTAAAGCAGAGCCGTGTAATCCAAGACAGTGGTAAACAATGCAAAGCGAAGCAACCCATAACAACGCAGATCAGAGCATAACAACGCGACGCAACGCAATGCAAGGAGAGGAACACCAATGCAGTCCAGAGCATGGCACAGCAACGCAAAGCAGAACGATACAGTGGAATTCATCGCAATTCGAACGAATGAGAGCCCCAAGCGACCCCGGCGAGCCGTGGGGCCACCCTGGAGGAACAAACACTTGCACGCACACTCGGCGGCGAACGAGGGGGGGAAGTGAGAACGGGCGGGCCTTCTCAGAAGGCTCGGAAGTCCCCCGGCCTTCTGAGCAATTTTCTAAGATCCCTGGAGACACAGAAACCCTTCCGGAAGGCGCGGGGGCTTCTGAGAAGCCCCACCGTCTTCTGAGGAGGCCTTCCCTGAAGGAGCGAACAATGACATAAACATAACAACTCGGAGGTCCGAACGGATTTCTCGGATCCGCGCTGGACCCCATGGCGGCGCCTCCGGCGCCGCACCTGGCGCGCTGCGCGCGCCAGTGAAGGGGGTCCAACGCCGATCCCAGAAATCCGCGCGGACCTCCGAGTTGTCATGTTTATGTCATTGTCAGCTCCCGCTCCCCCTTCTCACTTCCCCCTCTCCTCGCTCGACGCCGACACGTGTGAACTTTCGGAAGTTCGCACGGGAGCCCTGCATCGGCGCTGTACGTACCCCCCTCCCTTGGCGCGGGGAGCGCGCCAGGGGCGCGGCGCCGTCGAGGGCGTCGCAGCGCGGACCCACGAGCGGGTCTCCGAACATCCAGGTCTGTGTGTGATTTCTGTCCTCCGAGGCTCCGGAGGGTCTGGGCGACCTCAAGCCAAAAAAACAACAGAGCTGCAGTAGGAGCTCGACCACAGGAAACCTTCCACAAGAAACCCAGCCCTGGGACCCCAGGACGTCCATGGATTTCTGGCGTGGGAACGTCGCGCCTTCCATAGCCAAACCATCGAAACCCAAGCAACCCAGGGCACCCTGGAGGCAAGCAGGGTATTTCTTGGCATGGGTCGCCACTGTATGCACATACACCGATCCCGGCCAGGCTCATCCTGGGCACGGGATTGGGCCAAGGGAGACGAGGAGGAGACGAGGCGAGACGAGTCCATGGATTCCACAATGGTCGGCCTGGAACTGGGCGAGCCTTGCGCATGAGTCTCGGGAAGGGGTCTTTCTGGTGATGAGCACATGTTCCCCCACCACTACCATAGGTAGGACGGGGGAGGATGGCAGGACGGGGAGGTCCTCCTCCTCTTTCTCCTCCTCCTTCTCTTCCTCTTCCCTCCCTTCCTCCCTCCCCCCCTCCCCTACCTATGGTAGCGGTGGTGGGAAACGGGCCTATCAATTGGCCAGCCTAGAACAGGGCAAGCCCTGCGCGGGAGTCTGGAGACGGTGTAAGTCACATCGACCCAAGCGCTGAACGTACCAGCAGTTAGATCTCTACTGCCTGCGCGGCCAAGGGGATGAGGATGCGGAGATGCCAAACATCGTGGTGAGACAACGCGGTCGATACGAACGCATGAACGCCAGCAACTTACGTATTCTATGTTTCGAACAGCGTCCTCTCCGCACGGGTGCCACCCCCCTTGCACACATCTTGACCTGCACCGAGCATCTCCCGCAGAACTCATCGAGCGAGGGCTGGAATCATTATCGGAACGCGTGCGCAACTACCCAAACCACCCAACTTCGTGCATCGCGCCCCGTGGTGCGGCACGCGCAGTGCTTCTATCCGCGCCCTCGCGCTGCCACCTTGGGAAGGGCCACTCCACGGCCCAGACCGCGACGCGCGCGCGAAGCGCAGTACACACTCGTGCTCGCAGACCAGAGTTTGGAGCTGCCCACTGCTCGGACGCTGAGGCTCGCGTGCGCGTACGTGTGAACCTAACGCTGTACGCTCGAAGGCGCTCTCTCGATTTTGTCGTCGTCCTCCTCCTGCTCGGGCCTCGCAGCTCAGTGGGTGGGGGGTGGGGGCGCTGCGTAACGCCCAAGAAGAGGGGCGAGGGAGCCAGAGGGGAGCAGACGGGGGCGGGAGGAGGCGGGAGGAGGGGACTGGGGAGGAATGGGGAGGCAGGGGATGAGGGGGAGGGGGGAGGAGGAGGAGGAGGAGGAAGCAGGAGGAGGAGGAGCAGGAGGAGCAGGAGGAGAAGAGATGGAGGAGGAGGAGGAGGAGGAGGAGGAGGAGGAGGAGGAGGAGGAGGAGGAGGAGGAGGAGGAGGAGGCGGAGGAGGAGGCGGAGGCGGAGGCGGAGGCGGAGGAGGAGGCGGAGGCGGAGGCGGAGGCGGAGGCGGAGGCGGAGGCGGAGGCGGAGGCGGAGGCGGAGGCGGAGGCGGAAGCGGAGGAGTAGGACGAGGCGGAGGAGGAGGAGGAGGAGGAGGAGGAGGAGGAGGATGAGGAGGAGGAGGAGGAGGAGGAGGAGAGAGGAGGCGGAGGACATTCGAGACACGGCCACAAGGGGCGTGGATCAAGAGCACGAGCCCCTCCACGCCAGAGGCCCGAGGTGCCGTGGGGGCGCAGAAAGACGAGCACACCGCGGAGGAGAGCCCGAGCACCACGAAGGACCCAACGGGTACCCCTCCAGAGCTGGGGCTGCTCTCAACCCTCGTGCCATCTGTTGCCAGCCCTCGTGCCAGCTCGTGCCTCGGGACCCCGGAACTACAGTCGGACCTAAGCAAGACTGACATCT